CAAACTCAGTCGCNTTCGCACCAGGACCCACACGCGCGCAGTGAATCACACTATTTAGCTCGTCCGGACGCCCCACCCTTCTTCATTTTTCTGGTTTCATTCTCGTCCAGCCCCCATTTAAACTTTTTTTCGAGGCCTTTTTTCACTATGGAAACACCGATGCACGCAGTTTCTTCACCTCAGTCGCACTAGTTTCGATCTTGTCTTTCGTTTTTCATCATAATCTGGATTACCCAAAAATATGTGAACGGTGCCTTTAAGCACTCCCTTATCGAATTCGCTACATCTCAAGTCGCTACTGCATTCATCTGAGCAACCGTGAAGCCACCCCCTCTCCTTTACCCATCTTCCATCTTAAGGTCTCAAATATCTCAACTTCGCCAAAGTTTCAATTTATCCTTAAGGAGAACGCGAGTGTTACTACGCTTTTCACTCAAATTTGAAGGATACGCTAGTGAATAGCTAAGGGAAGCCCAATTTGCAAAGTTCTCTCGGAACTCACCAATAGGTGTTTCGAATAGAGGGCGAAGAAGAAGTTTTCTGACGTCGGCCAATCCCATTTTTAGTAAGCGCTTCCGCTTCAAACACCCATTCAGATCGTAGTGGTGGATTGAATGTGTGTGTGAAATATGCAATGACTTGCGGTGGACAGCCGGTGTATAAGTCACAGCTATTATCCTGTCAGAGAAGTCCACCAATTAATCAACTTCGGAGAGGTTGAAGGTTGTTGGCTTGGGCAAAAATGGAACCGGGCCATACGTGGTAGTGCAACACTTGCCACTACACCACCTCGACCCCATTTCAATATTTCACCACCTCAACCTCATTTCAATACTTCACCACCTCGACCTCATTTCAATACTTCGTAGGGAACACATGGTAATCTCAGCAAGTTGTCGATCCACCTATTCCGCGTCACTCCTTGATATTTCCCCAGTCGTAACATGATGCTGATATTGGGAATAAGCAGTGGGTGATATTCTCGCAAGAAAAAGTGACGAAAAATGTCTGAGTTCTCAGCTCATAACTCATGACTTTTATTTAGTGGGCTCTCGGAGGATCGGGCAGTAGCAAGGGTTTGTCAGATGATCCGAGTTGTATACAAGAAGCTGTTTTCCTTCTGGCTGGGAAAACAAACAGCTGTAGAAGTATGGCGATACCCATGAGGCATGCTCAGGGTGCAAAGATCAGCAATCAGCTTGCGCTAAGCTAAAGCAGATTTTGTAAGCACATTTATTGAATACTGACGACATTCTTTCATTGCCACAGCAAATAACGCGTTCTCTGGAAGAGCTACATAGCCATCAGTCGTCAAGATAGGCAAAGAGAGGTCGAAGAACTGGGGCTCATGAGAATGGGCGAAACTCTCATCCTTCTGACTATAGCTAAATGATACCAGACGTCTCCAAGGTAGCAACGACATGCCTTGAACACTGGACACTGGACCTCGCTAATCAACTGAGGGGCTGGATACTCTCTCCAATGTACTTTTAACCTCGGAAGGAAAGGGAGCATGGCGTTTTCTGTCTTCTACTACAAACTTTTCCAGTCTGCTACTTCAAGGTCTTGAACGCCAGTAGAAACTTCAGTGATTGCCGCGTGCATGTTTATTCACAACGAACTGCGGGCATTCAAAACAAATAAAGTGAGCCAGTGCAATTGAAAGGTCCATTTTATCTTTATGTTATGACATTGTGCAGAATCGACTTCCTTGGAGCAATATCGAGCGAACATTCAGTTCTTGGAATGCCTTCCTGAGGGGGAACGCAAAAGGAATTTGAAAATACATTTCTCAGTTTAGCAATGAACGGAAATAAAATAATAAAGAGCACGAAATGGGAAAAAAGTTCCTGACGTTGGGGTTTGTCTTCACTTCCGACCTAGATTCGGAATTGCAATAATCCCTCAGGGCGTATTTGGTCTATACAATGAGGTACCTGCGAGAGACACCTGATGTATCTGTCAACGCATTCATTCTCCTGAACAGGTGCGGTGCCAACCTCGGATTAATGGAAGACTTCATGAGCATAGGCAGCTTTTGGTCAGAGAAATCCAAACCGTGATGGATGTGAACGGCTTGACACTGACCCAATCGCTTTCGAATTGGTGAGAAGAGAGAAAAATGCTGCAAACTCAGTCGCTCATTAATCTAACGAAGTTGGTGCGCGAGCAGTGATCCCTATTGCCACGCTGCTTGTTTATACTTATAGTAACTGGGTCTAACTAGCTAGTCAAATAGTACATGTGGCAGGCAATGCAGTAAACAAACTCCGGTTCGTGCAAGCAAACTTCAAACGATTCTATACAAATCAACAGGCCTTCTTAAAAAGTGAATGACACAAAGACAGAAATGAAAAAGAATGATGACAAGATGACCAAGGGAGCATTAGAGGTGAATTGACCCCTTTCGCACTTCCTCAAAGCTGAGTGAGCCGCTTAAGAGGCTTTCGATAACATCGGTCTACTGCCAACAGTAAGAAACAGCAATGGATAGTGAATTGAAATCCTAAAAACTTTCATGCAACAATGAATTAGGGCGATCTCCCTATTTGATTTGCCTCCTTTGAGGTTGTAGCACCTTAGAACAGTAGTATGGGAAACACGCTTCATAAAAACTGCAAATGCCAAAATGATGTATTGAGTATAAGGGGATTTGGCATGCATGTTTTCATGGCAAAAGAAAGCAGCCGAATACGATTTGTTCAGGTGAAGGGAGCGGCGTAGTTTACTTTTCTGTCTGGATAGGTTGTCAAATAGCAATGAGTCATCGCGGAAATGAGTGGGCAGAAACAGTGCCGCCGTATGGCGAACATCAGCAGCTGTGCTGAAGTCCTGAGGAAGTGGAAGGCTTCTCTGGATGGGAAACTGAAGGTTGGGCACCTTTAATCATTTTCCACTAAATCAATATCTTTTAACTTGAAACATCCGTCAACCTCTGCTAGATAGAAAATTGCTAAGGAATGATGGTACGAACAAGTAGATTATCGAAGATAGGGAAGAAGAACAGAGGAGCGAAGCAGATGCTTGAACTTGTGTGAGCATTTACATGATTCTATGCCTTTATTACAGTGAGAATATAGAGGAGACGAGCCCCGATAGTCGACATCGATGGCGGCTTCTCAGATCTGAATCCGTCCTGACCATCAGGGACTAATCGAAACTCATCGCTGTATGACATTCGTCCGGAAAGAACTTTTCAGTCCCATGCAAACTACAAGGACTACGTATGAGCTTTTTGGGTTCCTATATTTAGTTCTGAAAGTCAATGAAAGTGACAAGAACTTGTTGATTCCCAAGCAGTGGTCAACAGGGGTTCCCTTATGCATCTCGCCACCCATTAGTTACTCATTAGATTAACCTGATCTCCCATGAGATCTCGCAATCGTACAATGTTTTCGATGTCGTGAGGATTGTCGTTTCGATCACAATGAAGAAATGTTTACTCAATTGGGTGATACTTCAAAATTCATAACTGATTATGGCCAAATGTAGTAAATAAAAGGCAGAACATCAAAATATCCTCCTTTTAGAAGAACAGTATCCTGTAGCCTTCGCAGCGAATGTCTCGTTGAGTGACTTGACAAAAACTCTATCTTATATTTGCAAAATCGATACCCTAGTGACAGCTCCTCCTTTAGCTATGCCCTTACCCATTCTGGCCCTTCCTAATTTCTGAAACAGGGGTCTCCCTAAATGACACTCCGGATTTCACTGCATCCTATTCGGGGTGTTTTTTTTTTCTGAGAGCGTTTATTGGCTCAGCAAGGGGCTCGTCAGAAGCGAAAGAATCAATGATTGGAAAATGAGAATGAATGAGAGGAGTGGTTTGATGACATGGCGATAAACTCTAATCTATGAAGGCAGTAGGGAAATTAGAGTCATAGTCGCAGTTGCCATTGAAGTCGAAATAGCGGGAAACGGAAAGTGATCGCGGCGGTTATTGTGTGAAGCTCAATGGGTTTAGAATTTTCTGAGAAGGAGTGTGTGTTGTACATCGTGCCTTTCTTTTATACTGTACAGAAAGCAATAAGGAGAAAGGGCATCAAAACAACGTTCCTATTCAAGAAAGGGTCAAATGTCAGTGATTCGTCGGATGGCCCTTCTCAATGTGAATATTAAAATGATTGAGCGCAAAATCATTTGAGAAATTTTCCTTTTCCTGGAAGTGGTGAATATGCAATATGGAAGCGTTCTAACATAACGCCGACCGGTCCAAAAGCAAACAGAAAAAGACGGCTGCGTCCAGTCATTTGGGAGGGACCGCTGCGCCCACTACAGTGGCTAAGCCAGGCGGGTGCAACACACCTACTCAGGAACTGGAATAGGCCGGAAGAACAGTGGCATTGTGGTTTTTTCTTACGGTTGAGGACAATTGGAGATCAAAAAACATCTTTATTTCGTTCTATACATAGGTTTACATCGGAATATAGATGGAGACTCATCTAGACAGATTGAGCGGAAGTGGGTGATAGTAGCCTCTACCAAAATCAGTTACAAATGTATAAATCTAGATCGTTACCCGCAATGAGTGGAAGAAAAAGGCACGCCGGGATCGATGGACTCTGCTTGTAATACAGTCAAAAATAGGGAGCTCTCATTCTTACGGGATGAATGATTACTGGTATAGGTTTAGTAAGCAAAGCCACAAATGACTGTAGGTTGTTGGGTAGCGCGCCCATGTTCTCATGATCACGGGCGAGAGAACACATAGCGCATCTGGATGTAATCTATCAATGTTGACTACTTTCTTGTAAACATAATGTTTCTTTCAGATGGAAATCTGCGTGAACATCATGTGATTCCGATTCTGATGCCTCTCAGCGATGATCTCGTGTGATTTCCAAGCAAGCTCCCACGAGGTATTGGCAGCCCTGCTGGTATACACACGGCCATAAACATTAACAGTGATATTTCTTCAACGATTTATTGAAATGAGTTCCGACTAGGTGGGAACATTGCCCCGGTAAAACACCCATAACATCATGCACATCTCCACCTCTTCAATTGAATGGGAACTTCTTGCAACCGCATTTTTCGCCGCTGGGTATCGAGACAGATCTGATGGACTCATCGGCACCGAAGTCGCAGTCCGTTAACGGGACCACCTAAACTCGGACAAATTTCGTATAACGCTAAATATATGTGGCGCGAATGAAGCTTCAATAGAAACCTGGATTCCTGTGACAATGAGAGCACAAGCGGAGCTATTCTGTACTCGATAAGGAAACATGTAGGTACCGCTCTGTAAATATCTTATGTTGGTCACATCCAAAAAAACTCGCCATCATTGGATGCGAACTCTACAGTTCAACAAGATGCACTTTCTGAGTAGAATCTCAGCAACTTTCTGCAGTCCCTACAATTGTCTAGAAATGATAATGTGTTGATGTTAATAATTATGTATATCAATGTTAATAAGCATGTTCTCTTGTAAGTTTGAGGACACGAAAGTTGCATCGTCTTCGAAACACTGAATTTATTCGGAAGTCTAATGAGGCATTTCTGGCAACAATCTCGTAAATAGAACAAGTGCAATAACCATTTCATAGCTAAAAATATCACTACCCAAGCTAGTTACCGATAGAATCGAAAAATTGTTGGTTCAGAGGAAAATTGACAGGCGATCATGGGGATTCCCTTAAAGACTGTTGAAAAACTGAAGGTAAATGCTGGTTTTCTGCTTTCAAATGAAACGCCTTTGATAAGTTGAATGATTTTTTTGCCAGTATATGTCGTTAGACTAGAAAATCACTGTAGTTACGTACTTTTCCGTACGACATATGGACACGTACACTTATCACAGATTTTTCTCACGCAATCAAAATCTGCTCGGTTTTCCACTCTTGATTTACTCCTTGGGGGCAAAATTATGATGCGTTCAACTACGANAGAACAATATTGCAGGGTTTTTTACTGTTTTGCCGTACTGGTTTGTTAAGGCAGAAACCGCTTTATTGGTCGACGTTTCGACAAATCGTCGTCTTCAGGACCTGAAAGCAGTTCGGAGCTCATGATCTGTGCCTTACCCGACCAAGCGCCCAAACGCGCTAGCCCGGTTGCAACAGCTCCTAGAAACATGAACACTAAAAGATCCCAACCGAGAAACCAACCTTAACAACCTTAAGAACATATTGCAGGGGAAAAACGAAAATTGGCCCCGAAAGGAGGAGTGAACGGACAGGAACTCTTCATCCCTTCATCATCAAAAGCAGAATGATCGAAGCAAAGAGTGAAGAAGAAGGTGCAATATAAAAACGTGCTAACGAAAGTAGTGCATGAATGCTTCTGAAAACTGTGCCCATCAACGGTTCCGTGGAGAAAGGGATCTGATCAGGAACTCGAATATTTGATCATGAGTTAAGATTTCTCAGTTCTGATGCAGTTATACTATTTCTTTTATGATGAAAACGACTTTACTACAAGGTTCTTCCAAAAAAACCTTCATAATTAGAAAATAAGCTTTTTGTAGTATCTTGTATACCTCAGGCTCGATATTTTGAAACCTCAAGTTTTAGAAAGTGATCTACTGGCATCATACTGGCTTTTTTACAGAGGATGTAGAAAAAGACGACGGTGAAAACGACGACAGTGTATCCACACGAAAACGAAAACAGTGAACTACAAAAACTACTCTTCATTTGGTTCACAGTTCCCTCAAATCCATTCTTGCAGTCTAATTTTGAATGATCAGATAGAAGAAAATAAATAAATCCTAACTGCGTAGTGCTGGTGAGCATAAAGAAAATTAAGGAAATATACACCTTATATGTTATTGAGTAAGGCAGATAAGAAATAGAATAATCACACGTTTAGAATGGAAAATGTTGGGGAAAAGTAAAGCCGACAAAATCTTGAGCCACCTACTTATGAAGATTTGAAGCAAAATGAGGGGGGGGGGGNCAGTAATCCACGGCTTCACTATGAATTAGAGCAAATCTCTTTAGTATGACAATAAAGTCCCTTTGAGATTAAGAATTCAATTCATAGTTCAACGATTTACTTGTTGAACGTTCAAAATAAGAATAACTTCGTATTTTTTGTCCCTAGAAAACACATTTTTCCTGTAAACGTGTATAGTTGAACATTTTTTTACTTATTTTACTTATAAGTTTTTATTTTGTCCATTATGATGGTAGGCATGATGTTTTAGCGCGTTTTGTCTGATGACCTCTTATATTGACGCGTGAATCGCACCACACCCAGCAAAATGTAGCTTCATTTGGAATATATACATGTATATTGTGAATGTTATTTGAATACAGGATTTACCTCAGAGGTTTTACAGTACCCACGGCAGACAGGAATCTCCACCACACCTCTGCATTTGCGACCATTCGAATCGGTGAGCACAAGTGGATTCATGCCAGGAATCCTTTGCAGAAAGTACTCACACTTGCTTTTGGATGTCACTTCCAATGGTGGTGCCTGGAAGAGTAAATCGCGTACTTCCACCTCACAAACTTCAAAACAGATTTTCAGATGTCTTTACTGCATTTCCGAGTGCGACACAGAAGATGAATCCCCTACGAGCTGTGGAGCTATGCAGTTTTGGGCAGAGAGGGGGAACCAGGAAGAAAATTCGTACCCTGAAGCACCCTTTCATGATAATGAGGACAATTTGCAACAAAAGAGGATCCCCGAGACGTTTTGCAGTGTTCCAGCGTACCGCTCTCCAGCAGGAAATGGTTAAGACGAAGCATTCTGCAAATAATTGAATTTAAGTAGGAGTGCAAACTCACAGCTACTGCGGTTAACATGAGAGCAGCGACGACGGTGAACATCGTGGAGCATTTTGAGAAAGGATCAACACACTGTTCGCCACATGCCATGTGTTTTACATCAACTCAACGATAAGCAGAATCAGATTTCGGCTGGAAAGACCATGAGCTTGTGAGATTCGACTATGACATATATTAAGGAAAACTTGGGGGTAGGTCTGCAAAATTAAGTTATTAGGTAATATTCATCGTCATGCGTTTAGAATAATATCATAAAGATATTCTGTTTTCTGACTGTGCCATAGGAGTTGTCACCTGAGCAACATGCTGACCATGGCCCTCGTCATAAAAGGTTTCGATAGTAATTTGCATTCGGGCTATTTGGCATTAGCACTGCTGAACGCGTTGTCCAGCCTTGTCATCTACTCAAAAGAGTACAGGCTATCACCGAAACCGCTGAACCCGTTTCGTCCTATGTCATTTCAAAGGCTGAAGATGCCCGCGTGGGAGACGGTCAAGTCGTGGGTCCGAGGGCGCGCGCGACAAATGGCGCGGCGACGTTCATATATATTCTCGCGGCTTTAGCGCCTATTATTTCTGCCCAAACTTGAAGTACAGTAGAACAGTAGGATCAGCTGACCTTAGTAATCTACCCGACTTCAGATTTGGGCCCCAAAGATAAACGCCGCAGTCATCCAAATTCGCCACGAACTTCGCCGCGCAATTTGCCGCGCGCACCCTCGGACGCACGACTTGACACACACCCTGCCCGCGTAGGCCCGTAGCCTTAGGTCATATCCATGGTTGCGAAAAAATGCGATCCAACGTCAGCGGTTTCCGGGTAGACCTCCTATGTAATAGGAGCAAAGTGCACTTGACATAGTATAAATTGCGAGAAGTGACGTTGGAGTGGCATCAAAATGCCCTCCCCGAACGATTCCTTGGAAGCGTTGTTGTGTCATCTTCTCCTACATGAAGGATAAAGGACAAAGTGTTGGACATTGATCAATCCCGTCTGGTGGA